CTCCTCCCCTCCTCCCTCTCCTCCTCCTCCTCCATTCCTTCTCCTCCTTGTTCTCCTTCTCCTTCCTCTCCTCCTTCTCCTCCTCCTCCCTCTCATCCTCCTCCTTGTCCTGCTCCTCCTCCTCCTCCTCCTCCTCCTCCTCCTCCTCCTCCTCCTCCTCCGCATCCTCATCCTCATCCTCATCCTCATCATCATCCTCATCCCTGCCCCCTGTGGCCTGCCGAAAAAAAGAGTCGAGCGAGGAGTGGTCGCGCACGGCACGCGCACAGGACGACTCGCGCGGGACCAGGGAGCACAGAGGCCGCAGCTCGACGCGCAGAGCCCGACACGGGAGCCCACACCATAGACCGCACAGGGCATCCCGCACGGGACCCCGCACAAGGCCTCTGGGATGAGATCGGGCGCGTCCCCTGCAGGGGGATTGTGGACGAGGCTTCAAAAATATTCAAAAAATATGTTAAACAAAACAAGAAAACTAGTCAAAACAGACTCTACGACGTGTTAACTAGGACCGCTCCTTCTGGCAAGAGTAGCAGTCCCCTCCCCCGGGACCCGACGGTGCGGGCGGGGGTGCGGGCGCGCCCCCGCTCTCTGCCTCTAGGCAGGGCCACTCCCCCCCCATCTCTCCTCCTGCTTCCTCCTCCTTCCTCCTCCTCTCTCCTCCGCTCTCCTCCTCCTCCGTCCTCCTCTCTTCTCCTCCTCTCTCCTCCTCCTCCTCCTCCTCCTCATCCTCCTCCTCCCCCTCTCCTCCTCCCCCTCCTCCTCCTCCTCCTCCTCCTCCTCCTCCTCCTCCTCCTCCTCCTCCTCCTCCCTCCTCCTCCGCCTCGCCTCCCGCCTCCGCTCCGCCTCCGCCTCCGCCTCCGCCTCCGCCTCCGCCGCCCTCCTCCTCCTCCTCTCCTCTCCTCCTCCTCCTCCTCCTCCTTCTCCTCATCCTCTGAGTATCGTTTACCCGATCCCCATCCCCAGCGGCGTGGCCTGAGCCCCACTGGCCGATCTACCCCCCCGAGCTGGGGATATAGGTCGTTCCCTTCGGGTTTCGAGGGGTGTATCCCCAACTGGGGTGGTAATGTGGTGGGGTCTCGAAGGGGATGGGGAGGGGGAGGGGGATCGGTTAAACGATACCGACCCCACCCCCCGCCCCGAAGGCAAAGACCTTGCCGAGAACAGCAAACACGTGCAGCCAAAGACTGGTGCTGGCGACCGCTGCCTGCAGCGAGGAAGCTGCTCGCAGCGAGCGCACTGCCCTCCCTCCCCCGACCCCTCATTTCCCACTCTCCCTCCCTCTTTCTCCCACTCTCCCCCCCTCTTTCTCTCCCTCATCACCCACCGTCCTCTCGACGATCCCCAGAACGCCTGTCAGCGCCAACAGCAGGAAACTGCTCTCATCGGGGGCGCGCAAACATGGATTGGCGATCCATGGATTTGGCGCGCGGCCGCCAAATGCATGGATCGGGGGAGGCGCCCTCCCCAAAATGCGGCCGGCGCCGCCTCGCTCGGCGGCGGAGATCCGCGGGTCCCCACGGAAACGGGGCCCGTCGCCAATCCACGCCACCCTTCATCCATGTTTGCGATCGCCTGACCTCCCCCGACCCCTCCTTTCCCACTCCCTCTCTGACGAACCAACAACACACACCCATACCCATAGGGGGGTTGGAAAGGGCTGTGGGTGCGTGTTGTCGGATGGGGGTCCCCGCTCGAACGGGAGCGTTCCCTAGGGTCCGACAACCCGCACCCCTACCCATAGCCAGTCCTCCTCCCTACGACCCCCTTATGGGTATGGGTGTGTGTTGTTCGTTCGTCACTCTCCTCGACGATCCCCAGAGCGCGCGCCAGCGCCCACGTGTGCTTGTCCACCGAGGCTCCCCGATGCGACGCAGGCCACGCCAGGGAGGGCCGACGCAGGCTGCGCGCTGCCAGTGGAGGCTGACGCGGCGGGCACGCACTGGGCCAACGCACGCCCTGTGAGAACAGAAGAACTCCGACGTCGTGACCGTTTTTCACAGCGCGGACCCCAGAGATCTGGACGGCCCCTTTCCCGGGACCGGGATTCCACCCCAGGTCGTTTTGCAGCGGTCCCCGGTGAGGGCGAGGGGCCCCCAGGAGTCGGAAGTGGGGAACGGCCTCGCGCCGTGCTTTTATCACAAGGAGAGGCGGTGGGCACCCGGAAGTCGGAACTGGCCAAAAACCCCGCTACCATACGGAAAGAATGGGTACAGGAGGGGCCCGACCACAAGAAACCTTCCACAAGAAACCCAACCCTGAGACCCCAGGATTTTAATCGAGTTTGGCGTGGGAACGCCACGTTGCCCATCGCAAAACCCTCGAAACCCAAGAAACCCAGGAAACCCTAGGGGCAAGCAGGGTGTTTCTTGGCATGGGCGTCGTGACCGAGAGGAGGTGGAGGCAGCACGCGTCCCGAGAACGTCCGGTCCTGCCGAGGTGCCGAGCCCCCCGCAGCCGATGCTGCGGCCGCCGCGGCTGCTGGAGCGCCGGCCGACGTGGCCCGCACTGCTGCTGCGGCGGCTCCTCAGGAGAACAAAATTACACCAGAGAAAAACCCCAATCAGTGGACGGTTTGATGAGATCGATGGTGAGATCGATTGAATGAGATGATTAGGAAGATCGATCATGAGATCGATTATGCATCGTGAGCTCGATAAGGAAATCGACCAGGAACCCCGGAACCCGGGAACCCGGAACCCACCGAAATCGGCCCCGAATCAAGGACCAGGGACCCGGGAACCCGGAACCGGGAACCCGAGAACCCAGCCGGCCACCAAAACCGGAGGGACCCTCTCGCCGAATCCTTCCATGTCCGCCGGAGCCCCTTCAGCGCAAGCACTGATTGGGAACAACGGCATACAGCAGGGGCTCGACCACAAGAAACCCTCCGCAAGATGCCCAGCCCTGGAACCCCAGGGCGTCCATGGATTTCGGGCGTGGGGGCGTCACGCTCTCCACAGGGCACCCTGAAGGCCAGCAGGGTGTTTCTTGGCATGGGCCCCCAGTGTACAATCCACCTGTAGAATAAGGACGCACGATACTCCAGATTTCGTAACACAAGGGAGGGGGTCTGGATCCACCAAGACAAGCCATTTCAGACCCCACCTGTGGAAGAACCCTCCAAAACATCGTCCCCAGCTCCAAGATAGCCTGGAAGAGACCCCCCCCCGAAATGAGACCCCCCTCCCTTTATTACGAAATCTGGAGTAAGGATGCAGAGGCCCTGGGAGGCCGCGTCGACACTTTGCGGGCCGGGCGCGGCCAGCGGAGGCGGCCAAGGATGGGCCTGAAGGGGAGGATACCAGGGTAGCCTTAGAGGTCGGGCCTGTCCCCCTGGAGGGGGATTTTGGACGAAAGATCAAAAATACCCCCCACCCAAAAAATGCCCCCAAATAGTCGAAAGATAATCAAAACATAGTCCCCAGACTATTCTTTGACTATTTTTGAATATTCCTCCTGTAGAGCGACAGGCCCGACTTAAGGGTAGCCCTGGAAGGTCGCTCATCCTTACTGACTGCAGGTTGACTCTGAGCATAAACCGTCGGAGCTCCGCCGGGTTTCTCGAATCGGCGCTCGGACCAGAAACCCCGTGTCGCATCGGAGGCGCCCTGCAGTGTAGAAGAAACATGAAAATCGACGATACAGAAGTAAATCTTCGGTGGTCCGCGGGTAGTCGTCATCGTCGTCGTCGTCGTCGTCGCCGCCGCCGTCGTCGTCGTCGTCGCCGCCGCCGCCGTCGTCGTCGTCGTCGTCGTCGTCGTCGTCGTCGTCGTCGTCGTCGTAGTCGTCGTCGTCGTCGTCGTCGTCGTCGTCGTCGTCGTCGTCGTTCAGGATCGGCAGCACCGGCCGTGAGGCCTCTCGAACAAATCTTCGGTGGTCCGCGTAGACTGAAGGGGCCCAGGGACTCACACAGAAGTACACACAACTAACCGGATCCCCCATGTTTTCCCATCATTTCTGGGTTTTTGTCTTCCCCCCCACTACCCATATTTTCCCATATCTCCTGGGGGATCGACGACGAGTTGGGTCTGTGTGTGATTGTGTTCCCTCCCGATAGACTCCTCCTGGAGCTGCGCCGGACCTCCCCAATCCCGGGGCGCGCGGGGAGCGCGCCCGAGGCGGCGCTGGAGGCGGAGAAGGAGGAGGGGGAGGGGGAGGAGGAGGAGGAGGAGGAGCAGCAGGAGGAGGAGGGGGAGGGGGAGGAGGAGGAGGAGGAGGAGGAGGAGGAGGAGGAGGAGGAGGAGGCGAGGAGGAGGAGGGGGCGAGGAGGGAGGAGGAGGAGGAGGAGGAGGAGGAGAGGGAGGAGGAGGAGGAGGGGGGGCGGAGGAGAGGAGGAGGAGGAGGGGCGCAGGAGGAGGAGGAGGAGGAGGAGGAGGGAGCCGCGGGCCGGGAGAGCGCCGCGCGGAGCTCCGAGCGTTTTGGCGCGTGCAGTCGTGCGCTCCCTTATGTTACATCCTCGGGGGACCTTGCGGTCCTGACACCGCAGGCGTGCTGCTCTCCACAGAGCCTCCTCCTGCTCCTCCTCCTCCTCTCCTCCTCCTCCTCCTCCTCCTCCTCCTCCTCCCTCCTCCTCCTCCCTCCTCCTCCTCCTCCTCCTCCTGCTTCTTCAGGACATGTTGTGGCACAACCCGCAGGCATGGGAAAGCTTCGTTACGTTGCATCCTCGGGGGACCTTGTCTGTCCCGACGCGGCCCATGTCGGACGCGTCGAATGCATGTCGAATCCATGTCGGGCGCGTCGGATCCGCGCCGAATCCGTGTCGAATCCGCGTCGAATCCATGCCAAATCCGCGTCGAGTCCGCATCGAGCCCGCGTCGGGCCCCCAAAAAGACACCAATTTTAGGGACAGGCGAGGTCCCCCGAAGGTGCAACAGAAGCTCCCCTGGTGAAGAGCAAGCTGGTCGTACAGGGCAGTTTTTCATGCATGGGATGTTCAAAAGCATAGGGTTTTTGATACAGGATTGATTCGTGAATGAGTTCGTGCATGAACTCATCGCTGTTTTTAATACTAAGTCCCTGCATGTTTACATGATCCGCACGCGGAGCATGTATTAAAAACGGCACTGTAACGAGCACGGGCCCTTTTGGGGGGCTTCTGGCCGCTCTCTCGGGCGCAAGGGGGGCCCTCCGTGGGCCCTCGGCACGCTCGGGCGGCGCTGCAGCGGAAGCGTCGCCCGGAAGTGCGGTTGGACCCACCGCTGCGTCCCCACCCCGAGCGGGTGCGGGAAAGCAGTGCACAGAATATGAAGCGGCGAGGCTGTTGATGACTGTCGCAAAGCAACTACTATCAAGCACGACATCAACCTCAACTGAGCCCCTAGGTTCGGCGGAAATCGCTGAGGCTGGACGCCAACGGCTGACAACACAAGCGGAAAGCACAAGCCTCTGTGCGGGCTCCGTTTTTTGTTCTCTGCGATTGAGGCCTCCTAGATGGGGCCACTCGGCGTGGCAAAAGCCAGGCCTCGCATCGAGCCGCATCGCCGATGCATCGGCGATGCGGCGCGATCATCCGACCCAACCTTCTCAGAGTATCGATCGTTTAACCGACCCCTGTCCCCGTGGGCGCGGCCTGGGCCCCACTGGCCGCTCTGCCCCCCATGGACGGGGATGTGAGCCCGTTTCTCTCGGGCCCCGAAGAATCCCTGAAAAAATAAACCGGTGGGGATCTAGATGGGGATGGGGATGGGGAACAGGGGCCAGCTCAACGATGCTGCTACTCGGGCCCCATCTGAGAGGCTTAGCATTAAGTCGGGCGTGCCCCCCATACAATCAGATTTCGGACGAATTGTGTGTAAAAATGGCCCCCCAAAAAATAGATGCAGAACATGCTCCAGAATATTCAAAAAAATCGTCCCCAGACTATCTTTTTACTATTTTTGAATATTCCCACTGTAGAGCTTAGCGCTCAAGCTCTGAGGGGGCCCTGGGACACTAGAACAAGTAGCACGTGTGCCATGGCTCTTGCACAAAAAGGAAGGGAGAGGAGGAGGAGGTGGAGGAGGAGAAGGGGGAAAGAGGGGGCAAGATATCGCCCCTCGGTGCCCAGCAACGGGGCCCAAATCCCAGGTGGGGAGGAGGGGAAGTGGCGTGCGTCGCGACGCGGAATAGAGTGCTCGGAGCGGAGGGGGCACTGGGCGGAGCTTGGGGCAGAGGGCCACGGGGCGGGGGTCCAACTGGGGCGCTGGGGACGGAGGTGGAGGGGGGGGGGGGGGCGCGCGTCGCGACGCGGAATGCAATTGTCGGGGCGGAGGGGGGCAGGGGGCGGAGCCCCCACTGGGGCGCTGGGGACGCGGGAAGGGAGGTGGGGAGGTGATGTGCGTCGCGACGCGGAACGCAGCGTTCGTGGCGGAGGGGGCAGCGGGCGGGGCTCCCGCTGGGGCGCTGGGGACGCGGGGGGGCTCGGGGCAGGGAGCCACGGCGCGGGGGTCCCACTCTGGCGCTGGGGACGGGAGGGGGGGGGTGCGACGCGGAATAAAGTGATCGGAGCTCTAGACACCCTGTGCAAGGGAATAAATACACACAAATAACAAGATCCCCCACGTCTTCCCAAATCTTCTTAGTTTTTGTCTTCCCCCCCAGGGTCGGCGGCACCGGCCGTGAGGCCCCTCGAACAAATCTTCGGTGGTCCGCGTAGACTGAAGGGGCCCAGGGACACACAAAGAAATACACACAAATCGCCGGATCCCCCATGTGTTCCCCTATTTTCTCTAAGTTTTCGTCTTCCCCCCCCCCACCTCCCACATCTTCCCATATCTCCTAGGGAATCGACGATGAATTGTGTCTGTGTGCTTTTTCCTTCCTACCCGCAGCTCCTGCGCCGGCGCAGCGCGAGGCCCGCCCGCGCCCGGCGGCTCCTGGGGGCGCGAGGTGCTCGGCGGGCGCCGGTCGCTCGGCGGCGGCGGCGGCGGGGCGCGGCGCGGCGGCCCGCAGCGGCCGCGGCGGCGCCGGGGCCAAGAGACCCAGACAGGATCGCGTCGTAAAAAAAAATCCGGACGGGAGGTTCTTCTCCATTGTCGGCCCCGGGGGGGCCCTCGCAGGGCCTCGGGGCCGTCAAGAAACGACTCGGGGCGATAAAAGCAGTCCTGGTGAGAGGGTCGGGACTTCTGGGGACGCCGTCCTGAAAAAAACAGGGCGTCGCATGTCTGGGTAGGCTTGTCGTTCGGTCTGTGTCGGGGGCGCGCAAACGTGGATTGGCGATCCATGGATTTGGCGCGCGGTCGCCAAATCCATGGGGGGAAATGCCCTCCCCAAAATGCGGCCGGTGCCGCCTCGCTCGGCGGCGGCAATCCGCGACCCCCCATGGAAACGGGACCCGCCGCTAATCCACGCCCCCCTTTGATCCATGTTTGCGATCGCCTGGTTCTGGTCGTCGACGATCGCTGGCGGAGCGGGAGGCTCGGACGCAGACGGCGGGGCGCCACCGCAGGGAGCGCGCGCAGAACACACACACACACACACACACACTGCCTCCAAAAGAGAGAGCAGAACTGAGCATCAGAACCAGCACGGACCGCGCCCGACTGAGGGAGAGGACACTGCCTCCAAAAGAGAGAGCAGAACTGAGCATCAGAACCAGCACGGACCGCGTCAGACTGAGGGAGAGGGGAGGAGCGAGCAGGAGGGACTGTTCAAGACGCTGCCTAGCGAGAAACGGCAGAAACGGCAGGAGGGACTGTTGGCTCTTGTCGTCGACGATCGCGCTCTCCCCATGCGAGCGACGATGCCCACGAGCTGCACCCGGGCAGGCCCGGGGGCCGCGCGAAGACCGACCTGCAGGAGGCGCGCCCGCGCGCAGGACATTGGCTTGCGCGGCAGAGTCGCACGGCGACGACGACGGCGACGGCGACGGCGACGACGACGACGACGACGAGTCGCACGACGACGACGACGAGTCGCACGACGACGACGACGACGACGACGACGACGACGACGACGACGACGACGACGACGACGGCGGCACCTTGATTAGCTGCTTCCCTCTGGGAAGGAAGATGGGAACGCGACCGCAGATCTCCACAGAGCTCGGCGTCCACTGCAGCGCGGATCAGAGACCACGGAAGCCCACCTGCAATAGGCACCACACAGGCAGCGAAGAGAGGCCTGAGAGGGGGGGCAAAACGCGCTGCATGGCAATATCCCCCGAGACCGATGTGGCCAATGAAATCAAACGCACAAAACGAGGCTGGCGGATATTGGGTTGCGTACCCGACTCACCCTAGTCGGCCTAAAAAGAGGTAGCCGCAATTAAGATAGGAAGCTCGAACCTGATTAGCTGCACACAGGACAGTCAGATGACTGTAGCACTCAACTTGCTGCGGAAAGCTGTCGACAGGCTTCGACAAGCTTGCGGGAGGGGGCGGGAGGAGGGGGCGGGGAAAACGGGGAAATGGATGAGGCGAAGGGGGGGGGGGGGGAAAGGGGGGATGGAGAGAGAGAGAGAGAAAAAAAAAAAAAAGGCGAGGGAGAGAGAAAGAGAGAGGGAAAGAGGAAGAGAGAGACAGAGAGAGACAGGGAGACAGAAAGAGAAAGAGAGAGAGAGAGACACGGAGAGACAGAGAGAGAGAGAGACAGACAGGGAGACAGGGAGAGAGAGAGAGAGAGAGAGACAGAGAGGCAGACAGGCAAAGAGACAGAGACAGGGAGACAGAAAGAGAGAGAGAGAGAGGCGTGGAGACGGGGGGGAGCAGGGGGAAGCGACGGCTCAGACGCGCGAGAGTGCAGCCGGGTGAGGGTAACGGAGTCAGTTCCGCATCCTCGTCGGGCCGTTCGACCCCGTCCCTCCGGGACGACAGCGGCTCCCGCCTTAGGATGGCGGCAGCCCCGGCCTGGTGGAGAGAGGGCCTTCTCCACCGGCGGGAAGATGCGCGCAGAAAAAAACACGGGCGCGGCTAGCGGAGGCCACTGCAGAGTCGGCGAAAAGGCTGAAAATCACGGGTGCTTTCCTCACTCTCTCTCTCTCTCTCTCTCACTCTCTCTTTCTCTATGTTTTGCTCTCTCTCTCTCTCTCTTTCTACCCGACACAACTTCGACGACTTCCACAACCGGGCCAGCGGCACCGACCTCAGTCGTGCCTTCTGGAGACCCCGAGGCAACGCCTCCCGACGGCGGGGTCGATCGCGTGCCGGGCCAGGGCATCGACCGAGGGGCACCGACCACAGTCGCGCCCATGGGGTAATTTGTCCCACGACCAGGCCACTGCACCGCCGACACTGGCGCAGCGACCAGGGTGAAGCTCCCCCTGTCACCACCCAAACGAAGAGGCTGGGCGTCGACTACAGTCGGGGCGTTGACCCAAGGAACCCTAAACAAGGAACGAGGCCGCTTTTCTCCACAGATTAAACTTCGATCCCCAATCAAAAACCGAACGAAAATTGCAAAACAACTAAGAAACACTGAGCCCCTCCCCAACGAAAAGGGTTCCTTCTTCAGCGCCCTGACTGTACACCATCCCTGAGCACGAAGGCCTCGGCAAACAAAGTGGCGAAACCCCCTTCCGAGGGAGCCGCGACGCAGCTCCCCCCAGAGGCAGGGTCGACCACGACCTTCCCCCCAAGCCAAGCCCAGTCGACTCAGTGGCCAGACAGGCTACGGGCAACTTCGGTGACGACTACGGCATGGCCCAAGCTCGAACCAGTGACGACCTGGCCTAAGGTCGAAGCAGTGGCCACGCAAAATACCGACATGGACGACCACAACAAGCGCCTACACAGCGCGGCCGCTCACGTGAGCTGCCTTCCGAGCAAGTACCCACCCCCAGGCCGAAGGCGTGACAAAGGCATCGATCTGCCCCCGACTACCGCCCGTGCCCAAAGGCCGCGCTCAGAGCCGGGCTCGGGAATTGGCTCCCCTCCCAAAGCCGAGACCCCCACCGACCCAGCCGCAAGCTCTCTCGCCGTTCGCGCGGGCCCCTGCCGTGCCACCGAGCCCAGCAGCTCCGACTCCCCATCCCCCCCCCGTGACGGAGCGGACAACCTGCCCCCTGTCGGTCCGCGGGGTCCTACGGCGCGCCGCCTTCCGGCGTCCCCAGGGCGGAACCCGTGCCCCCACAGGGCACTGCTCGCCGCTCCGGCCGCGCCGCGCACTGCACCAGCCGGGCCGTGACTGGCCAGCCACGCCACGCTCCGGGCTCAGCCCATGGCCGAGCCGCCGAGCTGCAGGAGTTCTACGACTCCCTGTGTCATCAGTACTCTACTCTTTCTCTCTCTCTCTCTCTCTCCCTCCCTCTCCCTCCCTCTCTCTCTCTCTCTCTCACCAAGTTCGCGCCCTTCCTTCCAAGCAAGGGCTGCTTGTGCAGCGCATCCACCGCGCGCGACGCCCTCACGTCCCTGTGCGACCTTTCGCCTGACGGGGCGGCACCCGTCGAAATGCTGCACGACCTTCTCAGAGCCCGATTCCCCGCGCGGCCACGCGTCATCGGTGCCTGGCTGCGGGGACGGGGACCCCCAGTCAGTTTCCCGCAAGCCGCTCACCGACCTAGCCCTTGGGGCGCCGAGAGACGTGGCGTATCGCCTGCTCAGCACCCCGCCTTTTTACCTCAGTCGCTAGGCGCCAGGGGATGGTTGCTTCAACGTCCCCAGTACCCCAAGGTGGGCATCACCGCTAAGCGTGCAATGGCGGCATTGGCTACCGCAGTAGCCGGCTGTCGACGGGACTCCCGTTTGCTTGTCCGATCTCTCCCTCTCTCTCTCTAACTCTCTTTTTCTCTATTTGTCTCTCTCTCTCTCTCTCTCCCTCTCTCTCTCTCTCTCTCTTTCTACCCCTTTCTCCCCCTACCCTTTTTCCCTCCCTCTCTCCTTCCCTCCCCCACCCCCACACCCCCTTGATCTCCCCCTCCCCCTCCGCAATCTCACCCCCCCAGATACCTACTGAACTCATCCCATTTTCTTAGCCACAATCTGCCTCATCTCTCCAGTCTCAGTCCCCATCATCCCATTCTCTCCCCATCCCATCCCCGCCAAGTGCCAACACTCCCATCATTGCCTTCCAGTCCCATCCTCCCCATCTCATCGCATGCCCTCCCGAACCACTCCTATCCCCCTCCCCCTCCCCATCCTCACCCCCGTCCTCGTCCCCAACCCCTCCCCTTTTTCCCTTACCCATCCCCGTCACTATCCCGTTCACTGCCCAGCAACCCACTCCCTCGCGAATACCCCGACCCCTCCTCCCCTCTCCCTTGGCTCCACTCTCCACCAGCACAATCCCTCTATTGCCGTGGGCCTCCTCTCTACCTCCCATCCCCTCTACGATTCCTGTCCGCCATGCCCTCTCTTCGCCATCCCGCCTCCCGGCTCCCTCTCCCTCTCCACCTCTTTGCAATACCCCCGCTTTCCCCATCACATGCCTCTCTCCAGCGTTTCCTCCTCATGAGCCCCGCCCCCTCCTGGCGCATCCCTGGCAATGACACGTCGACTGCAACCGCGGCCCTCCCGGGCAGCCATCCGACCGCCCTGGATCGTGGCCCCGTCCTCTGCAGCGATCTCGTGGTCGGGCTTGCCGCCGAGCCTCGCCCGAAGGAAGAGACGAGCGAGCACAAGCCTCCACCTTCCCGTCTGGCCCCCGCCAGCCCTATCCCCCTCGAGCCCAAGGGGCTTGCCAGTGGGATCCAAGCCAGCCAGGGCTTGCCGAGAGAGGCCTCGCCTCCTGAGCTCAGCCGCCCCGGTGCGCAGCACGCAGCCCGCGGCGTGTTGGCACGGAGCTCAATAAGTAGATCGAGTACGCAGGTTTGGAGCCACACGTTGGCCAAAACGCGGGCCAACACGCTGAGCCAACACGCAACGTGCTTACCCAAGACGTTTCGAGAACGGCACGTGCTGCGTTTCCACACGGGCGTATCAGGGCAGCTAAGCTCCTGAGAGATGAACGCGCCACCTCGCTCCCGCGAGACGGCAGCCATCTCATGGAAAGCGCGGAACCGACCCATGTGTGCGCACACGGCGTTACCACGACAACCGCCCCGCAGGACAAGGTGGGAAGAGAAAAGGGGGAGCTGGAGATGGAGGGAAGAGGGAGAAGAAGGAGTGAAGGTGGACGGGGAGCGGTAGGTGACTACAAGTAGAAGGGAGGGAGGTTGGACACTGACTAACGGACGCAGGGAGCACAGACCTTTGCAGTCTAGATGAAGTGGTTACAAGAGAGCACACGACCCACTCGCACATTGCGAACGTTGACCCGTGATGCTAATTCGACTTGCAGTTGCAAGCCACAACATTTGAAGGGGCCCCAGGACACAAAAATAAATACATACAAATAAAAAGATGCCCCATATTTCCCAATATGTTCTGTGTTTCTGTCTTCCCCCCCACTTCCCATAGTTTCCCACATTCTCTGGGGAATCGAGGAGTAATTGTGTCTGTGTGTTTCTTTTCCTCCTGAACTTTGAATGTCGAACATGGCAGCACGCATCCACGCAGATCTCCCTGCACACAACATCGCAAGTACACACGTGTGAATATGCGCAGCAGCGGCCTCGTCCAAACTGGCAAAGGTGACAAAGGTGTACAAGAATACGCAGGCAGGCACGGCCCGCTTTGCTAAAATGATTGAGTGACCCCGCGCGCGCACGCGTGTAGGGTACATCGCGCGTGCGCGCGCACGCGTGTGGTACAGACACGCGCACGCATCAACCCGCACGCGCATGCCAAACACGTAATTGCAGCCGATACTAGCGTTAGGTCGGGCACGTCCTGGTACAGGCGGATCTGGACGAAGAATAAAACATGCTCCAAAAAAAAACAAAAATAACAGGACATGAACAAATCGTCCCCAGCGCAATGTTTGACTATGTTTGAATATTCTCCCTGTAGAGGGACAGGCCCGACCCAGCACCAGCATGCACTGAAGCCAGGCGACGGCGCGCCTCGGCCTGGAGCTCTCCCTGGCCAGCCGCAGCGGCGACCCCTGCAGGCGGCGAGGGCTCGGACGAGGAGCACCAAAATTCGGGCAGCGCTGGATAGGAGAACGGTACAGTGCGGGCGCGGCCACAAGAAACCCTCGCAAGAAACCAAACCCTTAGGGTGCGATTTCTGAGGGGGAGGGTGGGGTTCACTTACTTCAGGAGCTCCCGAGCGAAGTGAACCCCACCCTCCCCCTCAGAAATCGTGGGAGGTAGGGGTAGGGTTCGCATGTGGCCCCCTAACCCTGAAAACCCGCGCGCGAGGTGCACCAGGGGTGAAACCGGGAGCACCAGGAACGCAGCAGCTCCCTCAACGGCCGCGGGAAGTCAACGGCCGCGGGAAGTCAACGAGAGCCAATATCCAAGCGGCGCTGGATATGAGAATGGTATCAAAAGAGCACCCTCGGCCCGTATCATAAGGAGTCCTGATGATACGGGTCGAGGGTGCTCTTATCGTGCGCCCTTCAGGGGCGCACGATAATGACGTGCGTCCTTAAAGGACGCACGATAAGGATGCAAGGGCCTTGGAAGGCCGCTTCGAAGCTCTTCGAGCGGGGCGCGGCCCAAGAAAGTGGCCGGGGAAGGACCGAGGAGGCAAGGATTAGGTCGGGCCTGTCCCCCTACAGGGGGATTGTGGACGATTTCAGAAGAAGAAAAAAAAAAAAAAAAAAAAAAAAAAAAAAAACGCCTGCCCCCTTGTGGGGCCACCAGGCTGTAGGGCTAAGGTTCGCACTTTCCTGTACCAGTTGCAGCTTCCAGCTTCCACTGTTACAATTCCGTTTCTTGCTGCTTACTGTTCCTTGTTGACTTCTTGCTGCTTAGTGTTCCTTGTTGATGGACCGCGCGAGGGGGGGAGGCCCAAAACGGATTTTTACCACGGAGAAATCGTATGCTCTGAATTGCTGGGATGGGTAAGAATTGACACCACTCACGCAGATCGGCACGGTCAGGGTCCAAAACACAAAGGATTCGCCACATTTCTGCAATTCGGTGGCACCCCTCTCACGCAGATCGGCGGGGTCAGAGTCCAAAAACACAAGGATTTGCCACATTTCTGACATTCGGTGGCACCCCTCACGCAGATCTGCGGGGTCAGGGTGCAAAAACACATAGGATTTGCCACATTTCAAAAATTCGGCAGCACCCCACACGCAGATCGGCGGGGTCAGGGTCCAAAAACACAAAGGATTCGCTACATTTCTGACATTCGGTGGCACCCCTCACGCAGATCGGCGGGGTCAGGGTCCAAAAACAAAAGGACTTGCCACATTTCTGAAATTCGCTGACACCCCTCACGCAGATCGGCGGGGTCAGGGTGCAAAAACACATGGGATTCGCCACATTTCTGAAATCCGGTGGCACCCCTCACGCAGATCGGCACGGTCAGGGTCCAAAAACACATGGGATTTGCCACATTTCTCACCTTCGCTGGCACCCCTCACGCAGATCGGCGGGGTCACGGTCCAAAGATACAAAGGATTCGCCACATTTCTTACATTCGGTGGCACCCCTCATGCAGATCGGCGGGGTCACGGTCCAAAAACATATGGGATTCGCCACATGTCTGACATTCGCTGGCACACCTCACGCAGATCGGCAGGGTCACGGCCCAAACACACAAAGTATTCGCCACATGTTTCAAATTCGGTGACACCCCTCTCAAGCAGATCGGCGGGGTCAGGGAGCAAAAGCACAGGAAAGATTTGCCACATTTGACATTCGGTGGCACCCCTCACGCAGATCGGCGGGGTCAGGGTCCAAAAACACAAGGACTTGCCACATTTCTGAAATTCGCTGACACCCCTCACGCAGATCGGCGGGGTCAGGGTGCAAAAACATATGTGATTCGCCACATTTCTGAAATCCGGTGGCACCCCTCACGCAGATCGGCACGGTCAGGGTCCAAAAACACATGGGATTTGCCACATTTCTCACCTTCGCTGGCACCCCTCATGCAAATCGGCGGGGTCACGGTCCAAAAACACATGGGGTTTGCAACATATCAAAAATTCGGTAGCACCCCACACGCAGCTCGGCGGGGTCAGGGTCCAAAAACACATGGGATTCGCCACATTTCTAACATTCGCTGGCACACCTCACGCATATCGGCAGGGTCAGGGCCCAAACACACAAGGGATTTGCCACATGTTTGAAATGCGATGGCACCCCTCACGCAGATCGGCGGGGCCAGGGTGCCAAAAAACACATGGTATTTCCCACATATCTGCAATTCGGCGGCACCCCTCACGCAGATCGGCGGGGTCAGAGTCCAAAACACAAGGGGGTTGCCATATTTCTGAAATTCATACAACAGCGAGTACAACAAGAGACTCGCAATCTCCATCCGTCGTGCCAATTGCCCATCGTCCTCGCATGAAGTTCCGACGCTGCTTCACGGCGAAGCCAAAGCCTCATGACTTCGCTCTTCCATCGCCCATTTTCCGAGAGAGGGGGCCGGCGGCAGGGGGCGAAGCCCTTACGGATCTTCAGAAGTGGTCAACAATCGTGCCCGGACTACTTTTGAACTGTATTTGAAAATTCCCGACTTAAGAATGGCATCCACTGAGCACCCTCGACCCGTATCAGAAGGACGCACGATGAGGATGCAAAGGGCCTTGGAAGGCCGCTTCGAAACTCTTCGAGCGGAACGCGGCCCGCGAAAGTGGCCGAGGAAGGAACGAGGAGGCAAGGATGTAAGGGTACCCTTGGGAAAAGTGCGCATCCTTTGATGGGCCTGTTTCCACCACCACCACCACCAGAAATTGGAGGGGGGGGTCATCCTCCTGTTCCTCCTCCTCCTCCTTCTTCTCCTCCTCCTTCTCCTCCTCCTCCTCCTCCTCCTCCTCCTCCTTCTCCTCCTTTCGAGACCCTTTCGATATAGGCTCTGTAGCGCCGCCGTGGCGCTGCAGCCTCAGGGCGCCCGCTTGTGGGCGCCGTACATCATCTCCTTCTTCTTTGCGTGGAGCACCCCTCCCTTCGGCTCGCGAGCTGAGGGGTGATCCACCTTCTTCAACATTTGTCTTCCCTTCTCTTTGTGAGCCGCTGCCGACCTGGCTGGTCGGCGGCTCTGCCTCGCCTGCCACGCGAGGCGGCGGCCCTTCGAGGGCGCCTGCCATGGGGCAGGGTGGTCCATCTTCCCTTCTTCCGTCGTCGGGCACAGCTTCGCTGGAGGATTCGCTGTCTGACGGCCCGCCCTTCGGCCACTCATGGGCTGCGGGCCGCCAGACCTTTGCTTCTCTCCTTCGACTGGTGATCGCTGCCGCGTCGCAGCAGTTGCCCTGTCTTTCTGGCAGCCCGCCCTTCGGCCAGTTGGCTGCGGGCTGCCCATCCTCGCATTGCTCTTGTCGTCGCCGTCGTAGTCTTCATGGATGCCCTCCGCGCCGGCGCCATTGCCACCAGTCTGGCGGCCCGCCCTTCGGCCGCCCATGGGCCGCGGACCCCCAGTCTGTTGATTCACTTCTCATCATGGTGGCCACTGCGTCGAAGCTGCTGCGGGCCCGCCCTTCGGCCTTCTGGCTGCGGGCTGCCATGCAGGTTCATGTTCATATTGTCGCTGTTGTTCATGCTCCCGGGTGCCTTTTGACTGCTGAAGTTGCGGTCGAATTACCATTGGCCGTCGCGTTTCCGGGCGCCCCTCAATCCCGCCCGTGCCGAAAGCAATATCAGCCGCTGGACCCCCGTATTCACGTGGCGACGCGTTGCCTAGCAGCCGCGATGGCACACTAGGACTTTGCGTTCTACCACCTTCCAGCACACGTGGCGACGTCGCGCCTAGTAGCCTTGATGGCACACTAGGACTTTCCGCTCGAACGTACGATTCCAGACCGAGCTCCGCGGCGTCCGCGAGAACCACTTGCGCACCCTGAGCCACTTCACGGCATGGCATCTCGTGATCGCGCCTGTGGTGGCTGCAGCGTTGGCGGTCCTCGCTGCGGCCGCCGCTGATGTACTCGCCGCTGACGATGTCATCCTCCTGTCGGGTGGCTGAGGTACCTATCGTAGCTGGTGTGCATGTCGCTGGTTGGCGCTGCGCTGGCCACCCTGAAGCCCCACCCTGCGATGACAATCTCGTCGAGCGGGGCCGCTGCGGCGAGGTCGAAGTTCTCGGCGGCTGTCTCCTTCATCAGGGTGTCCTGCATGGGGGGCGTTGAGTTTAGGGCGACGCAATCTATACATATCCACTGCTCCCTGGCCAGGCCCATCCTGAACACAGCAGCTGCGTATACGCCACGCCCTCCTGGTTTGGCCAGGAGGGCGTATACACAGCTCCTGGGTTCAGGATGGGCCTGGCCAGGGAGCAGTGGATATGTATAGATTTCGTCCCCCGAGAGTTGGCTACGATCCTGATGGTGCCAAGCTCGTAGTGCCTGGCCGTGCAAAACGTTGCTGCAGCACGCTTGATGGTTTGGTGGCTCTCGGCAAGCGTCTAGAAGATAGAGTCCACGGCGTGCATGACAAGGAAAGGAACCTTCGCTTTGGCGGCAGCGCGCACGATGGTGAGGACTTCTCTTGTGGCTGAGCTGGCTGAATGGAGCTCGTCAGCTATGTTTTTCCGTGGCGTCGGCTGGTCCCCATGGCGTTTCCTTCGAGCGGCGGGCGCTGGCACGGTTAGCAGGGCCCTTGGCACGGTCGAAGTGGTACCAAAGTCCTTCCAGACATCTCGGCATAAATTGCTGCGATCTCACCCTGCAGGATCCTGTCGCGCATGAGCTGTAGGTCACGATTTGATGCCGGCACTTCGCAATCACTGCTGGTGTCGATCGCGCTGTAGTCCAGGCCGCTCGCGCTGGTTACTGCGATTATAGCCGCGATAGGTTGGAGGTCTCCTGGTTGCCGAGGGAGGTCGGCGATGAAGATCACGTCCTGTGGCTCGGCTGGCTCGGGTGTCTTAGGTGCTGTGGGTTGGTGCTTCGCCGGCTGGATGGCGCAGTGGATAGTGGGGGGGCATGGGCGACGTCTCCAAGATTGGGAGCGGCGTGATGTCGATCTTGTAGGCTGGTATTTC